AGTCATTTGAATTATTTTTTTGTGAAAAAAAAGAAGTCAATGTTGTCTTAGTATCGCAAAAAGTCACTAATCACCATAAAAGTAACTTTATATAAATGTGTGATTGTTTTAGACGTGTAACCGTGATATACATGAATATACATTATTATAGGCGTTGATATACGTTCTGTCTTTAACAAATATAATAATAATATATACATAGATATACACTGATATATGTCAATGTCCCTTTAGAATATCAATAACAAATGCACTGTATGATCAGCATGTCAACAATTAATTAATCTCTAATATAAAAGAGTTCATTCTTTGACTTATGACATCCGATAGCTTAAATTTAATATATAATGAACACCCAATAATCAAAACTATTTTTCTTTAAAATAGAAAAATATTATACTACTCTCTTTCTCCTACACATTTCAATCAAAATTATTCAATATTTTCTCCTAAATCTCTCGATTAAATCTACATTAGTTCATTAATTTCGTGTTTCAATGCCAAATTTTCTTCGTTTTAGGGGAAGTTTCATCGATTGTGTTGTTGGGTTGGAAAATTCATTCATTTTATGGATTCTTCATGGAGGCTTTTATAAAAAAAAATGCGTTATGCATATTTGTGATTTGTATCGATCGATTCGTCTTGGGTTTTGTTTGAAAAAAATTAAGGAGCTTGAATATCAATCTGATGGTGCTTGGAGTCGATTTGAGCTGAATTTTAAATTCAAAACTCGAGGTTGAAATTTCATCTTTGTATCTATTCCGTGTATATTTATGTATATTATGGGATATATATGTTTATCTCTTGTACATCATGTATATCCATGAAAATTTGTGTAAAGTACCCAAGTGAAAGAACCAATATACACATATTCATCCAGTTTGAAATTTAAATTTCTCCATTAACTAGATATTTCAATGCCAAAAGATGAATTTGCCAATTCAACAATCAATCCAATGATAAGCAAGAACAAAATTACAACATACAAATAACTATGAATATGAATCACCAAAAGCAGGAATGATGTTTATGAATTTTGGTTCAATGTCTATCAATTATGATTTGATGGAAAATGAAAGAACAAATGCACTGCAAGGTTTGAGGACAAAAAAATGACTTCTTGGATTATTATTCAAAAGGTGGATAAATTGGTTATTATGTCTATTGAATGTCACTTCGCTGATATTCAGCTCCTTAAAAGATACTCCTTCTGTCCATAATAAAGTGAACAAGTAATTAGGAACAGAGAGAATACTCTCTTTATTCACTTTTATTTGTCACTTATTTCTAAAATATATTTTCATTTTTACTTGTCACTTTTGACGTATCAAGAAAAAATAATTACTATCTTTTTTCATGTTGTACCCTTAGCATTAAATATTATTCTCCATATCATTCATCAAGACCCTCTAAACATTAATTAGTAGGAATAGTGTGGAAAAATACCTACATCAATAATTGTTTTCTTAATAAATGTGTCAAGTGAAACAGTAACAAGTAAAATTGAACAAAGGGAGTAACTAAAATGGCGGGTGAGAATAAAGATGAAGTGTATTAGCGAGTAAAAAGAACACAATCATGAAAAAATTTAATAGATGTGTCAAGTCAAATAGTAACACGTAAAAATAAACGGAAGAAATAATATAATAAATGCGAAATGATTGAACAACAAGTCATATGCAATCCTAAAAGGTGTTGACATTTTTATAATAATTAGGGCCTAATCAACATTTTTGAGGAATCTGATTTATTATTATTCTTCGAGACGATCAAGCCTAAATCATTGAACAAATTTTAGTACAAGCCAATAGAAGTAACTTTAGATCCATCCACAGCTTTAGAGGGTAATATATCATTTTACAAGTTGTCTTACTAATCTGGGGGAGAAGTCAAAATCTACTAATGTCTTCAATGAAGTTGTTTCACTTCCATCAAAGTTAGAGGTTTATCTTTGTGTCTCATTTACAAAGAGTTAAAAGAGTATTTTTATTTGATACTTTGATTGCTTCATGGCCTTAACCAAAACTTCAACCAAAAAATGACTTGTCAAAAATACTTAAAAATTTATGATTAAACGCTAGCTCAATTCCTTTACAGAAGTAATTTTTGTATATATATTTATAGTACTGTGATTAATATCAACCGTTACAATGTTATCGAGGCTAAGGTCCTCCTATGATGTAATTATTTTTTCTAGATATATAAAAATATATCTGTATATAGGTTAGGAATCGTGTCTAGCTCCCCCATTGTATAAATGGATGTTTCGGAGAGAGAAAAACGTAAAATAAACAAACACTTAATAATATTATTATTAAATTTCCAAATAATTACTCCATTTGTTTATTTTTCTTGTCTATTTTAAATTTTGCATGTCCTTTAAAAGATATAAATGACTGATATTTGTATTTTATTATAAGTATTTATATTAATTAATGTTTAATATTGTTGTCTTCAACAAAGAAGTAAAGTTAATTGGATAAAACTCGGAGATCATAATACCAAGTACTTCTTCTCATTGTTAGAAAGGAAAAAACTAATGCAATCAGTCACTCAATTGAGAGATGAGGAAGGTCACAACTCAGAAGAAGCATAATCAGACTCAAATATATTTGAGATTTTTTTAGGCTACTATAAGAATCTGTTGGGATAGGGAGAGAAATAAAGAGGAAAACAAGTACGTACGTAGGAATACAACTATGATATCTCTTATCCCTAACAATGATATGCCTGAAAATATCAATTAGTTTATGCCAATTTCATGCTCCAATACTCTTTTATAAATGCATCTCTAAGATCCTATGCAATATGCTTATTGTGTTTTGCCTGACCTAGTAAAATCCTAAACAAACTGTGTTTGTCAAAGGCAAATTACTGATTCAAAATGTTTTAGATTGGCATGATTGACTAAGGCACTATAAAAGGAAGACCACACTAAGATGTTTAATGAAAATTGATTTGAGGAAGACTTATGATATGGTGAAATGAGAATTTGTTGGGAAAATGCTAGATTGGTATGGATTTCAACCAAAGTCAGCCATCTTTTGATGGAATGTGTGACAACTACAAGCTTCTCAATAAAGGTGAATATAGAGAGATGTAGCTTCTTTGAAGGCAAGGAGTTCTCATTTCTCCTTTGCTTTATGTCCTGGTTATGGAGTATTTCTGACTCAAATGATGAGTACATTGTTTGATTTTCGATTTCACCCTCGATGCAAAAGATAAACAATCAATAAACAAGATTATATGATGTTTCTTAGAGACCATCATGTTAACTACTAAAATCATGGAAAATCTAGCATGTTCATAGTTGGAGTCTCAGAGTCTATAAAGGATAGACGTACTGTTGAATATTACAAGGTTTGAATCTGGGGAGTTAACTACGTATTAGATATCTTGGGCTACCACTATCTCACAAGAAACAGAGTAAAATGGATTATCATCAGCTTATAGTCAAGATTACTGAGAAAATTAGAGCAACATAAACTAGGCATCTATCATAATTCATATGAAGGCAGACTTCAGATAATTAATTCTGTTATTTTCTCATGACAGAATTTCTGAAAATCTATTAGTATTATTATTTTTGCTTTTTTAGTGTATAATTAAGGGTATGGAGAGAAGAAATGTGAAAAATTCTTATGGGGGCATCACTAGGTGGAAAAGAAAGTTCTCTAGTGAAATGGCATGAATTAAGGCATAGAGTGATTCAAACATAAAGAACTATAGATTATGGAATGTAGCAATAGTGGAAAAAATGATGTGGTGATTGCATCAAAGGAAAGATCTATTGTTGGTTCAATGGGTATAGAACATATATATATATATGAAAGGGGGTAAGGATATATGGACTCATCAACCATCTTAGAGCAGCACTTGGTACTGAAAACAACTAAATAAAATTAAGAAAGGTATGCAATCATGATATAATCAAGAAAAATACAGACTCACAGACACAAACGAATATTTCCATCTCAATGAGCTATAAAGTGTTATTGAGAGACAGACCTATATTTAGGGGATCCAGCCTAATATGGAGTAAACTATTGCTACTAAAGCACAGATTTTTAGTATGGTTAGAGGTGCAGAGGATATTGCTTACTAAAGAAAGAATGATAAGGTTGAGACTCAATCACGATAATCCTATGTGATCAGATAGATACAGGTTGAAAGCAGTACACACTTATTTGCAAGATGTCCAGTAGCATGTGAGGTATGACAACAAATAGAGGATTGACTTGAGGTGAACACTACAATTAAAGATGTAGGAGACACCATCAAATGGATCAGACAGAAACAATGGGAGAGGTTTAAGAAAGAAATTATGGCAGTGAACTATGGAGCGATGTTGTACAACATTTGAAATGCACAAAACATCAAGATTTTTAGAGGTCATGATATCAATGTCAATTTTTTTAGTTCAGCAACTACAAATAGTTGTTAAGGAGAGAATCAAGATGTATAGAGGATCAAGAATGGCTAGAAAGTGTAAGGGATATATAGACAAAATTTGTAACTAATTTATTTGTGGTTTGAGGCTTAGGCTAACTAGGAACCCTTCCTAGAAGGTTGCCTAATAACTAAGGGCTCGTTTGGTGTGAGGGATAAGCATAAATAGTCTTAGGATAAAAAAAATAGTGCTAAGATAAAATTTAGATGTCTTGTTTGGTTGGGATAACTTATCCCACCATTTATAGCGTAGTGATGGGATAAGTTATCCCATATACATGGTGTGATAAGTTATCCCAGGATAACTAACCCCAGGAATCAGGATAGTTAATCCTGGGATAACTAGTCCCCAACCAAACGAGCCCCAGGTGTTTCATATGTGTAATTCATTTTGTTGGTATAGTAATATTTACAGTTTATTGTAAAAAAAAAAAAAAAACTTGAAAAAATAAATAAAGATTAAATAATTAATACTAAAGATAAAATATGAAAAAAAATTCTTTCTTAATAAAATAAATTTTTATTTTTAAAATAGATATGTAATACTCAACTAGAGGGACTAAAAGTGCAATTAGACATTCCATCCCCTTCTTCTAGGTTTCAACTTTCAACCTGAATCACAGTGCAACCCTAATACAATCCTCCGATCAATCATGCGTCCATCTTATGACTTCTCTTTCAGTCGGGCTAGATCTGGCACGCTTTCCTTCTATGCTCGTCGTCGTCCATGGAGAGAGCTATTGACCCACCCGTCTTCCTATACCCTACCCATTTCCGTCAGCGATTTCGCATCTCGGGTCAAGCGAAATCTCAGCTACTTTCGGGTCAACTATGCAATGATTGTACTGGTTATACTCTTCTTAAGCCTTTTATGGCATCCAATTTCAATGATTGTGTTCTTAATCGTGTCCGTAGCTTGGTTTTTCTTATACTTCCATCGCGACGAACCGTTGATGGTTTTTAATCGTATGATTGATGATAGGATTGTTCTGGTTGTTCTCGGAGTTGTTACGGTGGTGAGCTTGATGCTCACTCATGTTTGGTTGAATGTGTTGGTGTCGATTGTTGTAGGGATTGGGTTGATTTTTTTGCATGCAACTTTTAGAATTACAGAGGATTTGTTTCTGGAAGAGGATGATGCGGCTGATGGTGGATTGCACTCTTTTGTTGGTACCTATGTGTGATTATGAAGCTATAATAAGTACAGATCTGGAAAATAGCAAATACAAAGCTACTGCGCAATCAAATGGAGGAATTGATACACGAATTATTTGGAATGATGATTCGATTTTGTTGTCCAATACTATCTGCTTCTGTAATCTGATTTATGCTGTTTGACTGAACTCGAATTTATGCATTAATTAGGTTAAGTGAGCTTTTCATACCAATCAATAATACCTCAATCCTGAATTGTTTGAATAGGTCATATGAATCGTCTAATATTCAATTTGATTTGTATAGAACATTGTTCAAATGTCAACACTCAGATCACAATATTTCTACTTTTTTGGGGTTTAGTCATTGACTATATTCATGTAGAATGGAGTTATGCGCTTGCTTAATATACTTGTATGAGATGAATTTGTATAACTGGCAAAACCATCGTACAATAACAACGGGAAGTTTGATTACCTGGAAAAAAGAGGGTGGGGACATCTTTAGAATAGCATATAAAAGAAGCACATGAATTACATCTCAGAATGGCAATTATAATACAACAGTACAATTCATCATTCTACAGTCAGAAGTGTTTCCCAAATATACTGTCAAGCTGCAGTCTCACAGGTGAAATACTAGTACCTTGGAAAAATAAATTAAATTGTATATATATTAAGATTTTGAGATTTGAAAGACATGAATGAAAAAACATTATCAAGATTCACGCAGTATGAATACAAGGTAGTGTACAACCATACAACGCATTGCAGAGAGAGAGAATGAACTTGAAAGCATGGTAGCCAGAATGGCCGAACTCGAATCTCAGTATCATTATCTCGTTCCTCATTTCCCGCTGATATGCATCAATTCTAGTCGCAGCAGTTGAAAACAACCTACTAGTCTACAACTCACAATATGATGTCCACTCGAGGCATAATGGTTCGTATAACAATTCCGGTCTGCAGTGATAATAACTTAAGAAGCTGGAACGCCTGGGATCTTTCGAGCATAAGCTAGCGCCATAACAAAATCCTTTGCCGATGAACCAATAATTGCTGGTATTCTTTCGGATGGGGTAGTTTGAAGCCACATATCAACCAAACTGTTCAGTGGCAAACTGGGGGCGATTGCTTGTCCCATACATCTAATCTCAACCTACAAAATAAACTAAAGAGTCAGCACAGCATAAAAGTAAACAAGCAAATCGTTTACTATGTTTTTTCCAATGAAGTTTGCTCCAAGTACTCTCTCTCTCTCTCTTTTATCCTTCGATACTAGGATATCTTCCAGGAAGAAAGTATCCGCCATACTTGTCACATATGGGTGATCTTTCTTGCTAATCGAAAAGGGAAATTTCATTTAACATCAAGCATCATACATTACCATTCCTCATCTTTGCACTTGTGTAAAGTAGAGTGTTACCTGCCCCAAAGTTGAGTTAGTTCATGTGGAAATTTATTAACACGGCCTAGTTCAAAACCAGACTGGATGACCATTGCACCCAATGTCTTTAAAAAGTATTGAAAATCATGTCCGCAGACTTCAATCTAATATCACCAAAGAAGATATATATTGTTGCATAAAATGCTAATGGTGTTCATTGGTTTATAAATTACTATGAAGCAAGAAAATCACCTCGTCTTCGCTCTTAAGATCCAACTTCCGCATCAGGTATTTTTGGATGAAAGAAACTGGAATATTACCATCCCTGCAAAAGAGGAATATATGAGAAAATATGCAAAGAATACCTGTCTCAAAATGTTAAAGATATTGGTGATTCTACTCCTACAAATGGACTACCTTAATCTTAATATTGGCAAACAGAAACTTTTCCAACTTGAGCTGTTCTTTCTAGCCTCTAATACTATATTCCCTTTTTGGCTCTAGGTGTCTTCCACTGCCAAACATCTATGGCTTATCCACCCGAATGATTTTCTTAGGTTGCCTACATATTTTTTTCCGTATCTTCATCTTCCAAGTTTTATTCGTGTACATTATTTGCTAGTTATACATCCAAAACTACTTGTAAGTCAGATTACTGATGCGAATTTAGGTGCCATCAGGCCCATAATTAATCTTCCCAAAAACTATTTTTTCCATTTCTCATTCTTCTGAACTGTTTAGGAATTTTAATGTTAGATATCAAATTGCAAGGTTCTTTTTGTCCGTGATTCCTTTTTCTTTTTAAAATTCCCAGATCACTTTATCATAAGCACACATCACTTCATGCTTTCATTACTTATTTCAGATTACTGTTGGTTATAAGCCATTAAAAAAAGGTAGCACTGTGATTTCTGAACTTTACTGGCCTGAAGATAAGGATTCTTGTTTTGTATATAATAAGTATTTCAAATTGGAAAGTATAATGTCCTCTTTCTTATTAAATTATCTCGTTTGCTGAGGCCTTATAAGGTCACAAGATATAGATCAAATTGCAACAGAGGAAAGAAATGTAATGAACACTTCATACTCTGTCCTATCTAGCTTCCATCTATTTCAAACTTCACGTGAAGAGGAGATCATTTTCAGTTCAAGATCGAGCACCTTAGTTTAATTTATGAAAACATATTTCGATGCAGGGCATGCTAACCGTATCACTAGAGATATAGTTTTCTATTTGAGCAAACATGGATGTTAAACATATAAATGTATACTTCTAAATGAAGTAGGCACACACTTATGGTATCAGAGAAGGCAAATTTTCAAAATTCAAGTCTCACATCCACCAATTATCAAAGAAGAAGTTTCATGTGCTTGGGATAAGAAAAAAGAGTCAAACCCGCACATGAAGGAATGTTTTCCAGACCTAATATAAATAAACAAATGTATCTTCTCTAGCCGGTTAAACTTTTAGATGAAGTGGTCACACAATTTAATTAATACTAGAATTATATATCCAAAGGGTGGAAATAAATGAAAATAAGTAGTACAAAAATCTATATGGCAGGTGCGGAAGCAAACAATCACTCTGAACATTGGATGAACTTTTAGGCAGTAGAAACATGCTGCAACAGTAAATCAGTAGCAGCACTGATGTGGAAGAAACCAGAGAATTTTGAGGGTTGAGGAGCATCATAGACTAAAAAGCTGCTGCAGTAGCTGGGAAATACGTAAGATGGAAAACAAGTATAATTATGAATATAGTAATGTTAGATCATTTATTCAGAATTTTGTTCTTCAGATCAGATAAGAAAAACTGGGTCTGGATTCGACTGCAAGAGTAGAAAGGCTACGAGAAGTTGCTTCTTCTGGTGGCCACGTGTCTGAGATGCTCAGAGAGCTAATAATGGAGAATACCTCTTCTAAAATAGAGCAAAGTCAGATTATTTGAAAAGCATCGACTGAGCAAAGATTTTTAAAACATGTGAGTGACGTGAAGGACAAAGTCTGTACCATGAGTGATTTACCAGAAAGCTATCCCAACATAGTTAACCCATATCTTACCCGTAAATAACTTGTAAGCGACCCATTTTACACAGTTCAAAAATGGCCTGAACCCAAATTTTATCCATTTTAATTAATACTGACCCAACCCGCTTAACTATGGGTGGGTTATTGAAATATGGGTCCATTTTGCTAGCACTCGCTATATACTACCCAAGGTGAAGCAGCATTATCATTGTGAACCAAGTAACTAGCTTATGGTTTACACTAACATTACAAGACAGGTCACTCATAAGTTGCTACAATTCCTACAGGATACTGGCCTATCAAAATAATTCCCATTGGCCATGTCCTGAAGGGGGAGAACAAATCCTCAATGCATTGGTCAGCAGTTTTTTCCTAGTAATCCATCAGGTACCTTATCTCCGTGGTCAGCACCTATTTGTTATGCTCCAAATTTCACTTCCTCCAGAGAAAGAAAACCAAATTATAACTGGGGTGTGCATGACGTCTTGGAAAGAAAGTATGCATCCTGTTGACTAAAATAGATAAAAGGAACAATCAGTGTCTGTACTCCAATCCCTTAGAGGATCTATGACTACTCCAAGTCCAAATGCAAAAGACTTGGTGAGAATCCACTAAATAATGTTCTTAAAAGACACCTTATGTCCCCCTTTGGTTGTTCCATATGTAAATACCTAATTGAAGCCAGTTGCTCTCATGAGTCCTTTTGATATACAAAAGCATAGGTAAACTAGTTAGTACATGAAACTCTTTGCACTTATGATTGTATTCAGTCATTTAGGCGCAGGGGTCATCTTAGTGAATGCCATTTCCAGTTCCTCTCTGCCCACACGGGTTTCTCAGGTTAAGTATAAGGGCCCAAACAGCACCCAACTGAGGTTTACCAGATGGTGCAGTGGGAACTGCCGAATAATGGAAAAGCAGCACTGCAGGAAAGCTTCACCAAACGAATATAGATTAATAGGCAGAGCTAAAGAGAACCTACAGAACTTGCTCGGCAGAACTGTCCTTAGACTAGATTTATGACACCCGAAAAATGCATTTTGCCATAAGCAAGAAAAAAAATAAAATCTACCCAGAATATCAAACAGTTCTAGAAAGACAACTACAAAGCCTTATCAAACAAAACAAAAGATCAAATGAAGAAGAAAGAACAGAAAAAAAAAGAATCAAGGACATAAAATACCAAATAAAAGGCATCAACCACATAGAAAAGCATTAACCAATATAACTAGGAGGAAAAGAGATGTGAGAGCTGTGGCAGATATTGTTTTTGATTTTTAGAATAAAATAACAAAAGCAAGACCAGATTCCTCATTCTTTCTGGAAAAATATTAAATCTCTTCAAGTAAAATTGAATATTGAGAAGAAAAGTTTACATGCCCGATGGCTTTCATTAAATGGGTATGAGTGGTAGGCGCATGTTAAGAGTTCGAGTCATTGTATGAACCAAGTCTGGAATTTGAGTGGAGAATCTGTAGAGGAGCAGGCTATTAGCCACCGATTTTGAAGCTAACAACAACGGATTTAATGGTTATCAATATGTGGTTCTTTTATGAAAAATGGCTCTAAAGTGGGGTGATAGATTAACCATGGTTTGTGTTGAAAATCCAATTAAATAATAAAAGTGTGCTCTCTCTAACAGCTTAAGCTTTTAGATGAGATGGTTTCACACTTGAACATGGTATCAGAGCAACCAGGGGTCATGTGATCGAATCTCACCGCCACCCATATCAAAAAGAATTTCCGTGCTTGGCCCATGAAAAAGAATCAGGCCCACACATGAAGGAGCGTGTTGAGAATACAATTAAATAATAAAAATTTGCTCTCTATAATAGCTTAAGCTTTTAGATGAGATGGTTTCACACTTGAACATGGTATCAGAGCAACCAGGGGTCATGTGATCGAATCTCACCGCCACCCATATCAAAAAGAATTTCCGTGCTTGGCC